CCTACAACATGCTAATGATGATCTGAGCCTTCAGCAAGTCATGATCTTATTTCTGGTAGACCAGTGGAGTAACTCACCTCCATGTCAATGGCCAGTGATTGATCAGGGTGCTGCTTTCTGATGATTGAGCTGACTGTGACAATTTCAAGAAATGAGACAAAATGATGCATGCCACATAAATTGACTCTTCTTTTCCAAAATATTTCTCTATAACATGTGATGGTATTTGATAACATTTTATTCCCAAAGAACTTTTCCAAGAAAATTCTAGAATCTTGTCTTGGTTTCTTTTCTCTCATTGCTGAGGCAAAATACCCAATGCCCAAACTTTAGAAAGGAAAGGTTTATTTAGCTCACAGTTTGTGGAGGTTTCAGTCTATAATTAGCTGGCCCCAAGGCAGGGTGGCATGGCATAGGGGCAACAGTTCAAGGCAGCACAAGACAGCAAAAGCAACAAGAGCACAAGGAGGGAGGGAGAGCAAGCCTCTTTCCCTCCCCTACACTGAAAGCAGATGGCCCCCACCCAGGGGGAGTGTAGCACTCACATAATCTCCATGCTCTTCTCCTGCAGAGGCACAGGATGATACAAAATAAGTACCCTGCCCCCTGCCCAGTCACTTAGTTAACCTTCTGAACTTCTCAAACTGACACAATGAACCACATCCCAGAGCAGGAAGGGCATGTCCTTTTCACCTGAGGATGCAGAACTTCTGAGTCATTTCACCAAGCCTCTAGATTCCTCAAGTTGACACAGTGTGTCAACCATAACAAATTTAATATATTCACTGCTGAATTGGACCAAATATTTAAAGAATTAATACCAGTTCTCTGACAACTTTTCCAAAAACAAGAAGAGGAAGAATATTTTCAAAGTCTTTTTACAGGGCTAGGATTATTCTAATGCTAAACCCAGACAAAGACATCACAGGAAAAGGAAACTAGAAGATAATCTTCTTGATGAACATAGATACAAAAATCTTCAACAACTGTCAAACCAAATTGAACACTGCTCACCATTATCAACTGGAGTTCATCCCAGAGATGTATGTACAAATCAATAAATAGGATACACACATTAACAAAATGAAGAACAAAAATATATAATCACTCATTAGATACGTAAAAATCCCTGGGCCAATTCAATCTCCTTTCATAGTAAAATCTCCCAAGTTAGGAAAGAAAAAATATACTGTAACACAATAAAGGCCACATATAATAGGCCTACAGCTAACATATCAACTGTGAAAAATTGGAGCCATTTTCTCCAAGATCATGAGAAAGACAAGAGTGCCCATTCTTGCCACTTAGAGCCAACATGATAGTGGAAGTCCTTGTCAGAGCCATAAAGCCAGAGGAAAGTTTTTAAAGGTGGCTTAGTTACTTTTCTCATTGCTGAGACAAAATATCTGACAACCACGGTTAAAGGAAGAGAAGTTTATTTACCTCACAGTTTGTAGACGTTTCAGTCCATAATCAGATCAGAGTGGCACATGGTAGAGGGGGAACAGTTCACAGAGGTGAAAAACAGCAAAAGCAGTCAGTGAAGGAGGCAAGAGAAATCTTCTTTCCGTCTCTTAAACTGTATGCAGGCTACCTGCCCTAGAGTGGGTGTAGTATTCACACCACCAATCCCAGCACTAGATAATGAACCAATCACAAACTCTAGATTAAGCCGCTTATAAAAAAACCTAGCCCCCATGACCACATGAGGCTTTAGGGGACATTCAGACACAAACCATGACATCAATCATCCTCACAACTATTCTTTTTCAGGAGATAGAATTGAGATTTATTATCTCTTTTCTCTTAATTGTCTGTTTTGTATATAACAGTATATACTTGAGTGTTGATAAAGATAAAAAGGTGTGCAGTCACCTGTTTAAATGATTTTGGCTGTGATGGTGCTTTAGATGAGATCTAGAAGTCCAGGACTATCATTTCATCACTTGCCATCCTCCCTGCTCTGCTCCTGGCCACTTGAACTTCAAGCCCCTGTTCCTCTGCACCATGTTAAGATCAGTAATGACTACATGTTACTAAGTCACAGGCCAATTTCTCAATTGCTCAGCAGCTACTAACACTATCCACTGGCCAATGAACTCATCACTTGAGATTGTGGACAACACACTTTCCTGGTCTTCTTCTCACCAACATCTTCTCCTTCTCATGTTTAACTCACTAATTTGACTTGCCACATTTGTTTATATTATATTCTCATATGCATCTCATCTAAGTCTGAGGCTTTAGATCCATTGATCCCTTTCTGTATGTATTGTTTGCTATATCCAGTGTTTCCTCCAAACTTCTTTTTTTTTTTTTTCCTCCAAACTTCTAACTGATGAAGATTCATTCATCTCTCTTCTTTATTCAGTCTCTATCTACTTTTGGTAAGAAATCCTTCAGCCCTTGGGGGATAATCTTCAAAATGACCAGAACTTAATTTTGGTCACATTGAAACATCATTTCCTAAAATAAATGCCTAGGGCACAGTAAATCTATTTTAGTTTGCTAGGACCTTCTCAAATTGCTTCTCCAAGTTCCTAGAAAGATATCCTCATCCTGGTAATCTTATGTGGCTCTTGATCACAACAGGATCCACTCTGGGGAAAGAGAAGGAAAGATTAAGATTAAGAGAATCACATGACCCAGAAGTTGCTTACATCACTTCTGCTTTTTTATCATTGGTCAGCTAGTCATATGGTGTTATCACAGTCATGAAAAACTGGGAAATGGGTTTGTTTTATCTTATTTAGTTCTCTTAGAAATATTATGTGACAGAAGGGGAGAATGGATATTGGAGAAAGCTAGCAGCTTCTCTAGCCTCTGATTGTCTCTCAGATTCTGTGTTCACAAGAAAATATTTTGGAAGCTCCTCAGAAGTAATAACTGACATGAGAAAGAACAGAGGAAAAGCCATGAAAAGGGCTCCAGGAGGGTGGGCAGGTTTCCAAAGGCCCTTCATAATGTGATCTTGGGAAAATCTCTTTCTCTGTTCTTAACTTTGCTCTGTTAATTAAGGATGGTCTTTAAGAACTCAGGGTACATTCGTGCACAAACCAGGTAAGACATCCCTCACAAAGCTTCAGATTTGGTGAAGACAAATAACACAAACCCTAATAACAGACATTCAGTTATGTTTCCTTGGTGGAAATAACAGAGGTTCTGGTTTGTTTTTCACTTCCTTCCTGGCCAGTCAAGGTTGTAGGAGCTTACAGCTCTTTTACACGATGAATCTACAGATTCAGCCTCTGAGTCCTGGAAGTTGCTGATTCCTCCACCACATGGAGGCCTCCTGCCTCTGTGAAGCCCGGGATTCTAAAACTGAGGCTGTTCCTAGGTTCTGACTTGTGTTCCTGATTTTTCACTCACCACTCTTTTGTTCCCTGTTTGGTTAGCTTCCCTTCCTCTCTGTTTCTGGAATTTGCTTATGCTATGTGGGACACAAATGCGGAATTACTCATCTTTTCTCTCATGCATATGTAATTATACCCAGCAGTGGAGCATACAAAGTGCTGGTCACAAGAGTGGAATCTGAGACAGCTTGGCGGGGTTCACAGGATTAGCCAGTATGAAGCTACAGGCTAATCACTGATTTTGTTTGTGCTACAGTTGCATCCTCTAAAAAAATGTCAAGGGGATAACCAATTGTTATTTCTAGACTATTCAGGGATTTAAAGAGTCAATGCTTCATACACTCACAACTGCTGCTGTTTATTATTCACTTAGGTAGGATCTACTCCTCTTTCACCAATGGAAATCTACATGAGTAACTCTTCTCATATGCCAAGCCCTATACTTTTTTTTTTCTACTGCTCTTCACAGAGTCCTCATACACACTTTGTTTTTGTTTTTGTTTTTGTGTTTGTGTTTGTACAGGGAATCGAACTCATGACCTTGCACTTACCAGGCAGGCACTGTGCCACTGAGCTATATCCCCAGCCCTCAGACTCCTCATATAAAAGCTTAAATCAGCAAAACAAACTCTGCTATGAATCTTCTGGGAGATAAAATGCGATCAGTTTTTTGTACACACCCCTGAACTACACTCAGTAATCATCTGTCAACATCTGCATATTTATACCTTTCTCCAGGGGGACTCATATTTATACCTTTCTCCAGTTACTGACTCCTTTCTCCTCAATGTTGCTGAGCAATTCTGCTCAAAAACAAGCCCTACCCATGCACAGTGTAGCAAAATTCTTCTAGGTCCTCACCAAAACCATATCAAAAGGCACAAGAGTGGTCAACTTTAGTTATCTGAGCACCCATTAGGAATTCTTTGTGACATACCCAGAGCAATCCTCCAAAAGAATGATGATGAAGGAAAGCTCCTTCATGTCAGTATGTGTTCTAATCCCTTTTACTGTATTTTCACTGAGCCCAAATATTCAGTCCTGTTAAATCCCACATTCACTCATCCAGCAAGTATGAATACATAGCCTACAGCTATGACAAAGCTAGACATCAGGAGTAGACACAGAGCTTTAGTCCTCAATGGCTAACACATTAGGACATTTCTCATTCACTTGACCCAGCCACCCTCACACCTGCCCTAGCAGGAACTCACATTTCACTCATGGCCCTAAAATAAGGCACTCTTTCTCCTGCTTAATAATACTCTGAGTCATGGGAGTGACATGATCACCTCTGTCTTTCTAGATTCTGGTACCTGAGAGAAATTTTCTGGCCAGGACAGTGTAGTGCTTGGGTCCTGAGCCCAGGCTTTTTGAGTGGAGACACTGGGTACACAGAATGTTCCCCTATCAATAAGGGATCTGTGCTGCACTGGAGAGACTCCAGGCTTCACAGTAAGCAAGAAATGAGTTTGTATCCAAGTCGCAAGACCCACCAGCTTTGAATAAGTTACATAGTGCACACACACACACACACACACACACACACACACACACGCTACATGCATGACACTAATTGTCACATAGCAGGGTGGTCTGAGATTCAGGGGTCCTGCAGCAGGGGCTTACATCTTGTGTGTCTTCCAGGTTCACCAGTGGAGGGCTTTTGAGCATGGTTCCAAACACAACAACTTTGGGGACAGAAGTCACAACAATGAAAGGAAAAAATGGAAGCCTTCCTGGAACTTTCAATGAAAAGGACCTGGTCCCAAACGTGGTGATCATCATCTCTGCACTGGCTGGACTCACAGGAAATTCAGTCGTGCTCTGGCTCCTGGGTTTCCGCATGCACAGGAAGGCCTTCTCCATCTACATCCTCAACCTGGCTGCAGCCGACATCCTCTTCCTCTGCTGCCATATTATAGACTCCTTGCTGGTACTCGTCAAATTTTCCCATCCAGAGGTTTTCTTCCTGCCCTTCTATAAGACCGTGATGATGTTTCCCTACATCACAGGCCTGAGCATGCTGAGTGCCATCAGCACTGAGCGCTGCCTGTCTGTCCTGTGTCCCATCTGGTACCGTTACCGCCGCCATAAACACACATCAGTCACTGTGTGTGCCCTGCTCTGGGCCATGTCCCTGCTGATATGCATTCTGAACAAGGTTTATTGTGGTATTACAGATGTCCGTTTTAAGGATGCCAAGTGTCTGAAAGCTAATTTTTCCACTGCTGCGTGCCTGGCTGTTTTAGTTTTGATTCTCTCAGGGTCCAGCCTGGCCCTGCTGGTCAGATTCTTGTGTGGCCCCCGGCAGATGCAGCTGACCAGATTGTATGTGACCATCCTGCTCACGGTGCTGGTCTTCCTCCTCTGTGGCCTGCCCTTGGGCATCTACTGGTTCGTGTTAATCTGGACTCATGATAATTTTAGTGAGAATTTGCATTATGGTCTTTACCTGGCCTCAGTTGTCCTGTCCTCTGTGAACAGCTGCGCCAACCCCATCATTTACTTCTTTGTTGGTGCCTTCAGGAGGCAGCTGAAGAAGCAGACCCTGAAGCTGCTTCTGCAGAGGGCTCTGCAGGACACCCCTGAGGAGGATGAAAATGGAGGCCGTGTTCCTCAGGGAACCCTGGAGATGTCCCTAAGCAGAGAAGAGTGGTGATGAAGAGCCCTTGCCCTGGCTGGATGGGGCTCTGCAAGTACCCCCCTGCCGCTCTTGACAGTTGTCTCTGCTTCTCCCAGCCTCTGGTCTCTGAGATGCCTTGATGATTCCTCAGTGTCTTTAAAAAGACATTTTCTGGTTTTTGTGACCAAAAAGGCATTACCTTGAAAGTAGACCATGTTCATCTTTTTTAATATTAGCAATAAACTTCTCATGTGAACTTTCTCTGAGTCAGATGGTATCTCTCTGCAGTTGTTCTTGCAGTGGAAAGAATCCCTGTCCAAAATCATAACTGTCTTGTTTGTGATTCTTTCCTACCCGGAAATACAGAAAAAGAAAGCATTGGATGGTTTCCCATGAAACATCTTCATGGGATGCCATCCTCAGCAAATATTTTACATTCGTGGAATCATAAGGCTCATTATGCTCCATCTTGTAGCAGTCCACAGCTTATACTCTGACATTAAACAGATATACAATTCATAAAAATATTTTCCAAGGAGAGCCCCTGCAAGGACTAAGCCTGTGCTGTGCCGCTAGCCTGTGGGCCCACAGAGACATCCCTTGCCTCCAGCCACCTTATCTCAGCAACCAGAAATCTTGAGATAACTAGGGATGCAGTAAGTGCTGGGTTGGAAAGAACGTTTGACCTGGAGTCAAGCAACCTGTATTCTCAAGCAGACTCCCTGACTACCTTGATCACTCTCCCTCTCCAGGGCAATGAGGTTATGGAATCGCATCAGTCTGACTTATCCATATGAAGTGTAGAATCTGTTTTCAGGATGAGGCTGCAGAATTTGACTTTACCATAAACATGAACTGAATGTAGCTATCATACTGATTAAGAACACTCAAAAGTTCGTGTGTCTGCATTGTAACTATCATCACCGTGAATAATCTTTGTGCTTATTTGGCAGCCACCTTGAATTTGGAAAGGGTGATGCAGTGCTCTTTCTACATGTTGGTAGGGTAGACATTGGGTACCAATGTTGTCAATATACCATTGCTGGCTATAAAAACAGAGAAGATTTGGTTTCTGTGCCTCAGGAACTTATAGCAGCAATGGAAGAAGTGATGTCCTTATATACACCTTGCACACTGGTCCAGTTGGCTTTGCCTTCTTCTCTTCTTCACAACACAAAGAGGTGGAGAAGAAAGAGGGAGAAGACTTCATTAGTAAGTGTATATCTGGAGATTAAATAAGTCAAGGAGGACTTACTGAAATGCTTGAAATTTAAACCAATGACACTACAATTTTATTGACCATACCTATTTTTTGTGGTATGCATCCAAAGATAAACAGAATTCAGAGTGTCATTGTTAATAAAAAGTTAAGGTTCTTTAGGTACTGGTTATAAGGAGACCAAAATGTTTCATTCTGTGTACCTCACCTATTTGGTCATGGTAATAAGGTCCCTCTGACACTGGAGTGCTGTGAGTAAAAAGCAATATCCCTCATTACCTTGAAGTGGGTAGCGATTAGCTTAAGGTTTGCAAAATTAGTTGAAGTCAACCCCAAAATACTGTCACATCAGAAAGAACCAGCAAGATCAGCCCATAACAAGCCAAAAGGGCAACATGCTGCTATGTTGACCCTCTTTCCAAGGTTATGTCCAACTCTACTGAGCCAGAAGCTGCAAATGAAACTAACAGAGAATTTTAAAAGGAGAAGTTGGGGAGGTAATGGGGAGAGAGAGAAGCAATGAAATACACTCACTTCTCAGATGCAGATATTTGTTGAGTTTTGTTTTGTTTTTTTATTTTATTTTAAAGAGTAAAAAAAGGATAACATAATAATAGGGGGTGCTTACCAAATTACAGCCAAAGTGGTAGGAAATTATCAATGGTTATTGTTTTACACATTGTTATCTACAAGATAGTTTCTCAGGAAAACAAATAGACAAATAATAGTGAATTACAGACAAAAGAGGTGGGAGATTATCAATAGTTGTTGTACTATACTTTGGTATCTTCAAAGTGGCTTCTAAAGAAAATAAATAGAGCTATACATTAGTGACCTATTGAATAATCATTAACTTTTCTCAATGGTTGTTGTGGGAAACACATAATGATAGACATGCATCCATTTACAAAATAGGATAGGAACAACACAAACATTGCAGAGTTATGGATAGATTAGTAGGAAAATATCAATGTCTGCTGTAATACATGGTGGTATCTTCAAAGTGGTTTCTCAGGAAGACAGAGACATACAAGAAGGATCTAACAAGTAGTTACAGCCTAAGGGTTGTCAAAAATCAAGTGAGCTGTCTGGGGTGAAAGCCATTCTTTGTAGCGTTTTCTCTCCAGCCTCCCATCGCATTGGGACCCCACAACCAGTTAGTGTCCTCTCCCCAACTGTCAGCACAGGCAGAAGGAATCCTGCTGCAGACTTCTCCAGAGCTCCACCACAGCCTGTACTGTCAGGGGAAGAATGGCTTCCAGGGAGTCTCTGCAGGTATTGTGCAAGGTCCTCCTGGTTTACAGCCTCCGCGTGGCTCTCATGACCCCAGTCCACAGGACCTCTGACTCCTCAGGCTTAGTCTGCATTCTCATGTTCTCTGAGTCCTTGTTCAGCAGCTGCTCCTTCACTGACTCTGGACCTTTCTGGTTCTCAATGGCAGGAGCAAGAGTGGCCCATTGTATGGCATGTATTCCCAGGGGTTTCTCCATGTTTGAATGATTCACACACATCTGTGGGTGGGCATCTGCAGTCGGTGCATGGTGGGCCAATTGTGTCATTGTTTGTCCGTGTCATGGTAGTTCTCAATTAAGTGGCCGCGGCAAGCCTGAGGGCCTGTGAGTGCGCCTATGAGGCAGGGAGCTAGCTGATCGGAAGACCTGTGCTCCCCACCATGGCTCCCTGTGCACCTGGGCCCCTCCTTCCGGGCGCCTACGAAGCAGGGAGCGAGCCAGTCGGAAGATCAGCACTCCCCACCCGTGGCTCCCCGTGCACCGGGGGCCCTCCTTCCGGGCACCTAGAGTTTTGGTTTTGGCTTGGTTTGATTTGGTTTGGTTTGGTTTGGTTTGGGGATTTGGCATGCTTTTGGAGGGTGGAGTTTGTTGTTTGTTTGTTTGTTGTTTGTTTTCCCTGTAAAAGACCCAAGTAGAGAGCAGAGGAAATAGCTCATCTTCAAAGTAAACTCAGTATTTTTTTTTAAAAAGCAGCACTTCTTGAAAGGAACAGTTAATGATTGTTTGATCAGTGTTACATGTCTATATTTGTTTTCCTGAGTAACCACTTTGGAGATATCAATATGTAATACAACAACCGTTGTTAATTTCCTATCACTGTGTCTGAAATTCAGTATTGCTTGTATTGTTCTTGTGTTTTTTGTAAATGTATGTGTGTTTGTTAATATGTTTTTGTTCTTTTATTTTTAAAATAAAAAAATTAAAAACAGCTCATGGCCCTCTTAACGCAGTGGGCAGCGTGTCAGTCTCACTAAAAAAAAAAAAAAAAAAAGCTGTGTACTTTCTTATAGCCTTGACATGAATGATGGCTTAAGATATGGTAAAGAGTTGTCAGAAACCTCATATTTGCACTCTGCTTGTCATGTCACCTGAACTTGTACGTGGTATCTGAACAGTGCCAAGGCTTACACACACTTGACCCTGAGATATGCCTTTAGCCCTATAGTGTCTTGAGGTTAGACTTGACTTTTGTTAAATGTTTGACAGAATAATGCATCTCAACTTTAGACATTCTAATGAATGCAACTGGAGAAGGGATACAGGTTTGAGCCTTTAGTTCTATTCATAAATTTTTATTTATTCATTCTCCAAGGCCTATTGGAAGAAAATACAGCCAAATTTCAAGAATTACTTAATTATAGTGGAGGGTATGAATGAATGCTTATATTTTCTTCTAGCCTATGTTCCTGGGTTATAAAATTCTCTCTAGCATACACAGTTTCCTCATTCATGATGAATTCAATATCTATGTCCTTCCAACAAACAAACTGACCTTTTTCTAGTTGTTTTGAATATTTTATTCCAAAGTAACTGAGGATTTAAATTGCAAAACTAGTATACAAAGTTTCTCTATACTCACTACCCAAACTATACCAGTAATGATACATTACACAAATACGATATATTATCAAAACCAGGAAGTTGATCTTGGTAGAGCTAAATTACCTATGCTACAAATCTTATTTGAATTTTATTGTTCTTTACATGACTTCATTTTTAAGAGTGAGGTTATCCATTTGAGTGTAAGTCTATGACATTTTATCACATATGCATATGCATATAAGTACCAGTGTATTCGTGATATGGACATAGTTTTTCACCACAAACAACTTGGAGTGCTGGAGGAGCCAGTGAAGCTGGCTTTGGCTTGTGTGCCCCCCTGAGGAGCCAGAGTTTAGGCTGCAATTGTCACCCCATCTGCTCCTGGTGTCTGGCCTCTCAGCTGCATGGCATAGTGGCCGTACCCCTCTGCTTGCCCACACTCCAGTGAGCAATGCCTCCCAACCCTGGGGCAAATTTTTTCAGAACATAAACCAAGAATCTAGTTGTTATCAGAGCTGGAGACATTTAGAAGTTGTTCTCAATCAGAGCGAAGCTTGTACTTCAGAAAGCCAGCCTCACTCCTCAGCATTCATTCTGAGGAGGCACCTAGATCTCCAGGTTCCTCCTTGATGAAAAAAGATCAGCTCAGCTTTACCTTTCAACAAGCTGGAATGAATGAGAGGCTCTTAAAAGACTATGAAGATAAAACTTGAAAAGAGTCTGAGCAAATTCTTTATACCAAATTAGTATGAATCGTTTGTGAAATTCACACATGACCAAATTATGTGGTGATATAGGACGAGGCCAACTTGCTACATATCCTAAAGATTTCTTGCATGTCTGGCTACCAGATTTGATCTCAAGAGATGGCTGCTCTGTGTTTTTTGCAACTGGTTTAGTAATCACATTTCAGTTCCAAACTTTGCATCTGAGAACACTTAAATGTTTTTGAAGGTCCATTTTATACAACTTGGAAGACCTTAAAATGTTCCCATTGTTACAAGCATATCTTTCTTTTCTGCTCATCAAAAAAACAGCTCTGCCCTACCATGATAGATTTTCCAAACAAAAATACCTAAAACAGCAATTTAACAAAATATGCCTTCAATGACACTCAACAGATGGAGTTTCCCCAAGCACAGTTCTGTAAGAAGTGTGTGTGAGAGTGCAGGAACGTATGTATGCCCATTTTAAGTTATTGTTTGTATTGTGCAAGTTTTTTGAACTTGGGGATTCTGGCTGTGAATTGATGTGCAAAAATTATGGTTAAAAACATTTGCTTAATCTACAGCAGATCATTAATGTTTTGTGGCCACATATGTTATAAAAGTGGATGTTATGGTTTGTATCTAGATGTCCCCCCCAAAGCCTCATGCAGTCATGGGGAGGGCTTCTAGAGTTTATGACTGATTCATGGTCCAATGAATTGGACCATGGGATTATGGGGTTGAGTGCTTCACTCCTCCTGGGGCAGGTAGCTTGCATACAATATAAAGGGAGGGAAAGAGGCTTGCTCTCTGCTGCTCCTCCTTTTTTGTTCTTGCTGCATTTGTTGTTTTCCACCACCATGAATTGTTGCTCTCTGCCATGTGCCACTCTGCTTTGGAGCCAGTTGAGTATGGACTGAAACCTCCACAAACTGTGAGCTAAATAAACCTTTCCTTTCTTAATTCTGGATGTCCAGCACTTAATTTGGGTATTTTGTCTCAGCAACAAGAAAAAAGTAATTAAGACAAACAGATTGTTTTATGTATAGATATGATTGTTAAATGCAAGGATCGTTTCCAGGCACTGAATACAAATCATAAGTTAAGATGGACATTAAGTGTGGATATGATTATATAAGGGTCTGTGGTCCTAGATCTATAAATGTGTAGTAAAAAATTACAAAAACTGGATATGGGCCATTGACACATGGATTCTGCCTCACCTGTTAGAAAAATACTTTGACTCCAAGCCCTAAAATATCCCATGAGGTCAGTGCTCACCTCATTTACAATCAGAGAGCACCCTGAAAACTGAGCCTCTAAAGGAAAATGATGTTGAGCAGGACCATACAGGTTAAGCTCTGGAGCATAACATAGGTGAGCACAGGACGGGGCCAGGCCCTCGCAGCACTGCTGCTTGGGAGGAGCCACTTCACCTTTGTATCAGTTATTAAAAATAGGATTCAGATCCTTTGGTTAGGTTCCCAAAAAAATTTTCTGGGGGGACCATTTCAATTGCTTGAGCTTTGTTTCAGGAATCCCTTTGCCCAAAGTTGCTTTCAGGCTGTTCTTCACCTTCTTCCAAGGTTGGGGACCAGGAAGTAGCCTCTGTTTTGAGAAGGTGTAAGTTAAGTATACATTTACATTTTACTGTGACTTGTTCAAGACCACATTTTACAAAATGCCTTGTTTCCTTTATCATTGTTTCTGGAAAGGAAAGTTCTATTAAAATTGTTTCAGTTTGGCTATAGAATAGTTTTGTAATTACAACTTATTTTGAAAGACTCTAAGTTTAATTCAAAAAATGTCAACACCTTTCAAAGCAAGGTAATATTCAGAGACAGATGTTCTGATCAGATGGCTTAGAGAAATTTCTGGAATATTCACATTCGAAGATTCTTTATTAATGAATGCCTTTGACTTAAATCTAACCAAAAACAGTAGCATTATTCTTTGTAAATTTTCATTATACAGTGTTAACAAGCTTCGTTGCAAGCAAATAAAATATTAGGGCTAAAAAAAAGAAAAAATCGCTATTGGGCTTCCCCATTATAGTCACATCCACTTCAT